CGCCCGCAACCCGAAAATTCATATAAAATCCAAACCGCACCCTACCCTAAATGTGTTTGCGAAAACCGCCCACCATGCTTGCGGTTCGGTTCGGTAGGCGGTTTGGGCGGGTCGGATGACCCTATGCCCATCCCTAGGTGCAAACAGTAGAGGACTTAGGGGATGTTGGCAAATGACTAATATAGTTAAAAAATTAAAAAAATTAATATAAAAAGTAATTGTTCTTTCTATTTTTCTATACATCATTTTGTAAAAAGTTAAAAAATTACTAAAAAAAATCAATTTTCAAGCAAATCCTAATTTCTTTCCATTCCATCTAAATTATCATTGGAAAAATTTGAAAGTATAACGTTCCATTCCATTCTTGTGGACAAGAGATAAACTGCTCTTCTTGAAAAAAAGACTAAACATTCTTTGTCCTTCGTTTATTACACCAAAATCCATTTTGGGCCCTATAGTCTGTCTGTATTGCATATAAAAAGGAGGAGGATATGTAATAGTTGAGGGTATAGAATGAGAATGTAATAGTTAGGATATAAGGATGAATTGCATACTATGGAATCATTTTATTATGTTTGGTTATGGCAAGATATTAGGACGGGATAGAGAGGAGTGATTCTTTTTAACCGTTGGATAAAGTATGTCACTATATTCGATGGTGGGGAATGTAATACTATTATAGGTATTACATACCCACCTTTTTAAAAAACATAATATTTGAAATTTTCCATATCCAGACGCTTAAGGAATAGCCCAAACATGGAATTAAAAAAACACAAAAACACGGAACCAATGGATATAATATTGGGTCCATACCAAACACATTAATTTTTTAAACTTCGAAAGAGGGAACAAAAAATTTAAAAAATCACTAAATAGCCAACCTCAGCTTGCATAGAAGCTAGATTGTGTGTATGTAGATGATGCTTACTGGTTCAGTAGCAGTCTGGTCTGGTTTCAACCTTTGAAAAATGGGTTATTTATCTGGAAAATATCCAGAGTGTAATTTTAAATGCCGTGCCTACCATGCCAACCCTCTTGACATTTGAAGTGTGAATGACTAAACATCTAGCTATTATCAAGTGTAGAAATTCAAACCATGTATTATTGACTTCATAGGACGTTTGCTCATGTGCTTTGGTATCATTGAGTCATCGATTAAGAAAAAATCTACCCAACAAACAAATTAATGATGGAAAACGAATGAAAGAAGAGTCAATGTGTACAACTTCAGCAGCCTTGAGTTGTTCGAACAATCCTTAAAGAATCTTCAAATAGGACATTATAAATGTTCGATAGGTGTTACAGCTATGGTTTATCGGCTTAATCAGTATTGGAAATTCCAAAACATCTCATATGTACCAATCATGATATAATGTGCATACATATGAGATATTTAAAAGCCCGTCAGTAGGGCATTCTATCTCTCTCTTTCAAATTCTACGACCCTTCATGGCCTTCTTTAACTTATCCCTTTCATTCTTGAATATATTGAGCACTTCTCTAGATATGGTTTGACGAGAGGGAATTGGTGTGAATTTGGGTTGCATGACATTACAAAATCTTCTAAACCCAACACCCTCCACAAATCTAAATGGCAACTCATCGATGACCACCATCTCTGCAAGAGCAAAAAAAAATAAAAATGCATTAAGTTACATTCATCCAAAACCAAAACGCAATTAAAAAAAAAAATTTGTCAAACTTAAACTTCATTCAATACAAACCCACGAAATAAAATTGAAACACTTCTAAAATATCAAACTTCATCTTCATGAATCATATCCAATTCAACTTTAACAAATTCCAATTCCATGCATTTGGTTGATGAACCCTACACAAACAAATTGAAAAAATATAAACTTTAATCTTCAATTATAAATAGTAAGAACTGAAAAAATAAACAAATGTCTATATATTGGAAGTACCACACAAATATTGGAAGTACCACACAAATAATTTCATATAATCTTCATTCACTCGTAAAGTTTTTCATTATTTGTTGGAAGTACCACACAAATAATATCACATGATATTTTGATATCTTATTTTATGAAATTATTCTATTTGATATTAGGAACATTTCATTTTTATTTATTTTTTTCGTTCATGCATTTGGAATGCATTCTCAAATAATTATTATTTCAAGAGAAAAAAGCTTCGAAAATTTAAAAAACAATGACAATGCCTATCTCTAATGCAAAGACATCAATTCCCAAAGGTAGTGTTCAATCTCTAGAATGGAGTGGAATGGAATGATCATTCCATCAAATACTTCATCAAGAATATGATTCTATCCAAGAAATTGACAAAAATAGCAAGGAAAAAAAAAATCTGAATTAATCAAAAATCTGAACACAAAAACAAAAACAAAAATTAATCAAAAATTAAACAGATTCAAACAAACAGATTTAATACATTCCAAAAATTAATCAAAAATTAATCAAAAATTAATCAAAAACAGATTCCAAAAACAAACAGATTTAATCAAAAATTAAACAGATTCCAGTTTCTCACATGTGGTTAATTGGATTGGATCGGATCAAATAGAATTAGAGAAGTCGAGCCGTTATAGGTTATGGAAATAGGATAAATTTTACTTTATCCTTGGTCATAGATTATTGTTATTTGGAAATGATCGCATAATCATGGTACGTGAATTGAACTCTATTGTTAAATATTTCGCCAATTCAACAAGTGTGAAAACGTGTCAAACAAGCATAAAGTGATTATATGCTTATTTTTCAAATTTTAATAGGGGCAAATCGCATATGGATTAAAGTATCGGGGTTAAAATGTATTTTGCCTCCGAATAAATGACAGAAAATAATCTTAGTTCACACACTTAGATTACTTATATATAGGAATATTTTAGTCTTTTTTATTAAATTGTTAACTGATTTACTGGTGCATTTTAGTCCATAAAATTACAAGAGGCTATATGTGGTTGTTTCCAAATGAGATGGGATAATTCGCACATGGGTCAAACCATAACAGTGTAAAGTTAAATTTGTCCAACAAAAATTTATTGACAAAATCTTTCATGAAAAAACCAGAATGATCAAACATCAATATGTCATATGATCGAATCACATTCGTCTTAGATTATTATTAATTTTTTAAAAATAAATGTGATCCTATTATATAAGATGAGTTCTACCTTTTTTTGTGAATTTCTCACTCTCTGAGAAAATTATATCTTATTTATGTGAAAGTAAAAGAATTATGGGGAAATTGCATTTTAGTGGAGCAGTGAGAAAAAAATACTTTCATGATGGTGCAACTCTCCTAGTGCAAATTCATTTCTATACTTGATGCAACTCTTCCAGTATGTCAAAATTGTAAAAAAAAAAAAAAGGGGGAAAAAAATCATTTATAATATAATTTTTTTCTCACTGCTCCATGTACTTGTAATTTCCCCACGAATTATTTCAATTATTCATACCCACATCACAAAAAGAGTGGTTGAAATATTTTTGTGGGGTACACTATCTTCGAGGGCTCAATTTAATATTCTTATTGCAAACAGTATTATCTACTACTGATGAAAATCTGCCTTTGACAATTTGGTGCAAACAGTAGAGGGACTTAGGGGATGTTTGGCAATTGACTAATATAGTTAAAAAATTAATATAAAAAGTAATTGGTTCTTTCTATTTTTCTATACATCATTTTGTAGAAAGTTAAAAAATTACTAAAAAAGTCAATTTTCAAACAAATCCTAATTTCTTTCCATTCCATCTAAATTATCATTGGAAAATTTTTTAAAGTATAACCGTCCATTCCATCTTAGTGGACAAGAGATAAACTGCTCTCTTGAAAAAATAGACTAAACATTCTTGTCCTTCGTTTATTACACCAGAATATCCATTTTTGGGCCCTATAGTCTGTCTGTATTGCATATAAAAAGTGAGGAGGATATGTAATAGTTGAGGGTATAGAATGAGATGTAATAGTTAGGATATAAGATGAATTGCATACTATGGAATCATTTTTATTATGTTTGGTTATGGCAAGATATAGGACGGGATAGAGAGGAGTGATTCTTTTTTACCGTTGGATAAAGTATGTCACTATATTCGATGGTGGGGATATGTAATACTATATAGCGTGTATTACATATCCCACCTTTTTAAAAACATAATATTTGAAATTTTCCATATCCAGACGCTTAAGGAATAGCCAAACATGGAATTAGAAAACACAAAAAACACGGAACCAATGGATATAATATTGGGTCCATACCAAACACATTAATTTTTTAACTTCGAAAGAAAACAAAAAAATTTAAAAAATCACTAAAAATAGCCAACCTCAGACCTTGCATAGAAGCTAGATTGTGTGTATTAGAGTGATGCTTACTGTCTCAGTAGAGTCTGGTCTGGTTTTCAACCTTTGAAAAATGGGTTATTTATCTGGAAAATATCCAGGTGTAAGTTTAAATGCCGTGCCTACCATGCCAACCCTCTTGACATTTGAAGTGTGAATGACTAAACATCTAGCTATTATCAAGTGTAGAAATTCAAACCATGTATTTATTGACTTCATAGGACTTTTGCTCATGTGCTTGTGGATTCATTGAGTCATCGATTAAGAAAAATCTACCCAACAAACAAATTTAATGATGAAAACGAAATGAAAAGGAGTCAAGTGTACAACTGTCAGCAGGCCTTGAGTTGTTCGGAATCAATCCTAAAGGAAGTCTTCAAATGGGACCTATTATAAATTGTTCGATATGTTTACAGCTGGTTTATCGGTCAATAGCAGTATTGGAAATCCAAAATCTCATATGTACCAATATGATATATATGTGCATACATATGAGATATTTAAAGCCCAGGTCAGTAGGGGCATTCTGTTTTTGTACCTTTTTTTACCTACATTTAATAACTTGGAATGAATAATTAACATCAACAGAAGCATCGTGAGGATAGCAATGAAAGCCTTTACTCTTTTCATCTCGTCTTTAATCTCTATCTTTATAATCTCCAATGCCATAGACACCATAACCAAAACTCAATCGATTTCAGATGGGCAGACCATAGTTTCATCTGGTGGAAACTTCGAATTGGGATTTTTCAGCCCTGGAAAATCCAAGAATCGGTATGTGGCGATATGGTACAAGAAAATATCAATCATGACACCAATATGGGTTGCCAACAGAGAAATCCCACTCACCGACACATCAGGCGTGTTAAAAGTCGTTAATCCTGGAATTCTCACACTTGTCAATGGCACCGGTGAAGTTATATGGTCTTCCAATACTTCAAGTTCGGCGCACGATCCAATTGCGCAGCTTTTGGAATCGGGTAATCTTGTGGTGAGAAATTCTAATGATGGTAATCCTGAGAAATTCCTTTGGCAAAGTTTTGACTATCCTGCAGACACGTTCTTGCCAGGCATGAAGCTTGGAAAGAATTTTTTAACTGGCCACGATCGCTACTTCACATCATGGAAGAGCAATGATGATCCGGCTACAGGGGTTTACACGTTCCGGTTTGATATTCGCGGATACCCACAAATGATTATGATGGATGGTTCTTCAGAGAACTACCGGTCTGGACCCTGGAACGGCCTTGGTTTTAGTGGGATAACATACTTGAAGCCGAACACGATTTTCAAGTATGATTACAATTTTAGTAAGGAGGAAGTGTATTACACTTACGAGCTCATCGACAAATCAGTTATTTCAAGAATCGTGTTGAATCAGAGTGGCCATATGGAGCGGTGGACATGGTTGGATAGAACACAGGATTGGAAGCTTTACACGAGTGTACCAACTGATAACTGCGATACTTATGCATCGTGCGGTGCTTATGGCAGCTGCAACATTGGTAATAACCCCGTGTGTGGGTGTTTGAATAAATTTATGCCGAGGGACCCAAAGAATTGGGAGAGGGGAGACTGGTCAAATGGGTGCGTTCGGAGAATTTCCTTGGATTGTCAAAATGGAGATGGGTTCATCAAGTATTCGGGGGTTAAATTGCCAGACACGAGGTTTTCATGGTTTGACATAAGCATGACCCTGGAGGCATGCGGGCAAAGGTGCTTGGGAAATTGTTCTTGTATGGCTTATGCAACTTTGGACATACGTGGAGGAGGAAGCGGTTGCTTGCTATGGTTTAATGAATTGATCGATATCAGAGATTACAGGGAAGGCGGCGGCCAAGACGTCTATGTGAGGATGGCATCATCAGGTATATCAGTTATATATGCTCTGTTTGGTTTCGTTTTTAGAATCTATTTTTCAGAATCTTATAAATGAGTAGCTCTTACATTGATTAAGTTTGTAGAAAACCCAAAAATTGAACTCTGCTTTGGAGCAATTATCTGGCTAGTTCTTGGTTACAATTATGTTTTCTTACTTATTTTATTTTATTCTATTTTTTTTTTCTTTTATAAATTTGCTTCGGTCACAGATCAAATCATGATTTTTTTTGCACATATCTTTATTGTTCATCAATAGTACTACAATGTAGGAAATGCAGACACATACGAACTCCACAAATATTGCTTGAATATGTTTTGAAGTCCAAACTACCAAAAGGAGAGTTTGCTAAAGTTCTGTTTCAAATATCAATTGCAAATCAAGAACTACAAACTCTGTGGCAAAAGCGACCCTGTTTGCTATCGTTTTCAAATTTTTCATCTCGTGTTTACCAAAACAAAAACAATGAAAAATTGAGAATCAATCACCCATCATTTTCATTTGCATACCAAATCAGTTTTCAAAAATTTATGACAAAAAGAATATGATGTTTACAGAACACCTTTCCGAAGACAGTGTTTAGAAACAGATTACTGTTTTCCATATTAGAAAACAGAAAACAGAAAATGTAAACCATACCAAATGTTCCCGCAATCTTTTAATAGATCGTTTTCAACATTTTTTGTGTGTGGATAGAATCAGTTGGCTCCAATGGGAAGAGAAGAGATAGAATCATAGTGGGCTTGACATTAACAATTGGAATGCTGCTGATATGCCTGAGCCTGGCATTGTATGTTTGGAGAAAGAAGCACAGGCAGCGCAAGAGAAAAGGTAATTGATCCAAAAATAACCTTTTTTTTCCTAATATTTTGAAGGAAGCATTCAAGCATGTGTGCTTGTATGACTTGTACAGTACATGCACACCTTGCCTCGACAAGTTCTATTGTTTAAATTATTGTTAATTCTTTTCAGGAGTAGTGAGACAGAGATCTAACATTGACAGCAATGAAAGCCAGAAAGAAGATTTGCAGTTACCATTGTTTGACTTAGGTGCAATTGTAAATGCAACTGATAATTTTTCAGAGAATAATAAGCTTGGAGAGGGTGGATTTGGCTCTGTTTACAAGGTAACCCTGAATGTTAAAATGTTATAGTTAGTAAATCGGTGCTCAAAAAGAAGAAGCAACGATCCTGATCTACGAAGTTATTTTAATAAAAAGTGACTGACACTGAACTAAAATCTCTCTGTATTTTTTTTATATTTAATTTTTTTATTTTTAAAAACAAATGATGAGTTCGTTCAGTAGATAAATTTATATTTTTATCTTCTGTATGAAAAATGCAGTAGTCATAGTAGAACTTGTTGTGAAGATGTTAGACATGAGGTAGAAAAAGACAGTAAATAATGAAGAAGACGAAAAGGGAAGATGAAAAAGTAACATGCCTCACAACTCACAAATGGTAATTTGTCCTCTCACAACTCGCAAATGGTAATTTGTCCTCAGGGTTTGCTTGAAGGGGGACAAGAAATAGCTGTGAAGAGGCTTTCAAGGAATTCTAGACAAGGACTAGATGAGTTCAAGAATGAAGTTATATGTATCGCTAAGCTTCAACATCGGAATCTTGTGAAGCTTCTGGGATGCTGCATTCAAGGAGATGAGACAATGCTAATCTATGAGTACCTGCCTAACAAAAGCTTGGACATCTTTATTTTTGGTTCGTCTCTAACGCTTAACAAGTCCATCTTTTTTTATTATTATTTTTTATTTTAGTTTTATTGGCATTCAAGTGGTTTTATATTTAGAAACTATTTTCTAGTTATTTTCAAGAATTAATTAGTAGAGCATGGTTTAACAAAGCCAAAATGTTGCACAGATCGAACCCGTGCCACATTACTGGATTGGACTAAGCGCTTCAACATCATCAATGGCATTTCTCGGGGGCTTCTTTATCTTCATCAAGATTCCAGACTAAGAATAATCCATAGAGATCTCAAAGCTAGCAATGTTCTGCTAGATGTTGACATGAACCCAAAGATATCGGACTTTGGTATGGCTAGAAGTTTTGGAGGAAATGAGACAGAAGCGAATACAAACAAAGTAGTTGGAACATAGTACGAATATATGCATGTTTTATGCAAGTCAATCTTGTTTTTGCAATATTTTTTTTTTCTTCTAATGTTTTATTGTAGTGGCTATATGTCTCCAGAGTACGCAGTGGATGGAATTTTCTCAGTAAAATCAGATGTATTTAGTTTTGGCGTTTTGATGCTAGAGATTGTTAGCGGGAAGAGAAATAGAGGTTTCATTCATTCAGACCACCGTCTCAATCTTGTTGGGCATGTGAGTTCCACTCTACTTTATATATATATATATATATTATCTTATATATGAATGTGCTTAAGCCAAGATTTTAAATAGTATCACAATATGAATCTGAATCAATCACGGCACAGTCATATTAGGTTTATCAAGTGACATGTATTGAAGATCGAATGATGTGATCGTGATTTTTTCAAAATCTTTCCAGAATAAGTTTTAAAAAATTCTTAGAACAACCTGGTTTTTAGGAAAAATTGAAAAGTTGTTTTTGAATTTTTGGAAATTGTTTTCAAACAAAAAAATGAAATGATACAAAAACAGTAAGTCTTTCCAATTTTTTGTTGTTTTGTTTCTAAAAACGCGTGCGCGCGCGCACACACAAAAAAAAAAGAAAAAGAAAAAGAAACAAAAAGTTAAGAAACAATAGAACCAAATAGGCCCATATTGGCTGGGAACCGATATGGGCAGGTTTGCATGTGATTTTCATTTCCATCGTTAGTACGTATCAGCCAATATTGAAAAACATCGCTTTAAACTTGGTTTTTCTAATGTCATCTTGATCATGGATTGTTCAGGCATGGAGACTCTACAAAGAAGGAAAGTCACTAGAATTGATGGATGGATCTTTAAGGAACTCATGTTATGTATCTGAAATGTTGAGATCGATCCACGTGGCACTGTTATGTGTGCAACAGTGTCCAGAAGATAGGCCAAGTATGTCAAGTGTGGTTCTGATGTTGGGCGGTGAGGGTGCATTGCCTAAGCCAAAACAACCTGGTTTTTTCACTGAAAGGAATCCACTTGAAGCTGATTCTTCTTCAAGCAGAGATGCACCAAGTTTAGCTTCAGGCAATGAAATCACCATTACGGTCTTACAACCTCGATAGGGAATGAAAAAGGCTTACAACATAGAAACCGTTCATATAATCAGACAAACATGCCTAAGATTTTAAATTAAACAATAGCCATTCATAGTTATATTGTACAAATAGTGGTTCATGGCTATATGGATGGTGGTTACTTAAAGTAGTTTTTTCTTACATTTTTTTTCTTTAAATTATGAATAGTCATTTATGGCAATATTGTAAGGTATCACCAACAAATCAAAGAATTGATTTCTATCATTTCTTTTATTTTACATTTTTTCTATAAATAATCATTCAAGACTACCTTGTAAGACATCACTACCATTTCTTCTATACTACATTTTTTCTGAGTAGTCATTCATAACTAAATAGTCATTTATATATTGTGCATTTTCCCATTGTTAGGCATCACCAACAAATCAAAAAATTGATTTCTATCGTTTTTTTCTATCCTATGCCAGATGTAACTTAGATATGACTAGGTTTAATGTAACTATTAGCCCATTAATAATTAGAAAGTCAAAACTTAATACAACCAAATCTAAGTTAAGCTCAACAAGCATTACTAGTTACATAAAATCTCTTTAGCTAAAGAGAAATAAACACAATAAATAATTCATACTAATCTCCATAGAAATTGAATCTACAATCTCACACCATAAAGTGGTGGTACACAACCTCGAAATCAAAGACTCTGATTGTTCATTTAATCATTTCATACAAAGGCGGAGCCAACACAAGACAAGAGAGGTCACGTGCCCCCCTTGGATTTTTCATATTTATACTATTTCTCTTATATATGAAGTTTATATCTAATTTGTTCTTATATAAAATTATAATAGTATCCCTCCTTAAATCATGTAAGATTCTTTTGTATTTTAAAATATTTAAAAGTGCTCTATTGTATTTTTTTGTTCATTATTTTATATTGTAACCTGGGAAGTTAATGGTGATAATTGAATTAAATGAATATTTCTTTCTTGTCATGGGATTTGTTTGGTTTATTGTTTTTCTTCATTGTGGGATTTTTTTTTTTGTTGAGTTTGATAGTGTTGAATTTGTTAATCATAAATTCAATCGGGTTGTTGATTGTGGATTTCTAAGTTATACTGATATAATTCTCACAATAATTGTAATATTGAATCTCAACAATGGACCAAAAAAATGTATGAATTTAATAATCTCATTATTGTTTATTGTGATTTTTTTTCTTTTTCTTTTCAATGATGTGAGTAATATGTGCCCCTCTGCTTTGAATTTCTGACTCCACCACTGATTTTACTTCATCTTCATCTTCTCTTTTTCTATTTTTCTTTACATTTGACAAATTTAATAATCCTTGAATCTTTTAAGACATTCGAACCTCACTCAATTGGTTGATTATTTGGTTGATTTGTTGAATTTTTGTGTTAAGACTGTGGATTGAGACTTAACAAAAAAGAGTTTACTATCAGGCCCTGTTAATCCAATGACATCCCCAAGTGGCAAAACACACATGCGTATGATTCCAAATCTTGGGTCATCTATTAAGAAAAATAATACCCCATAAGATTCCAAGTCTTGGGTCATCTAGAAAGAAAAAAGAATAATAACCCATATGATTCCAAGTCTTGGGTCATCTAGAAAGAAAAATCTAGCAAGGGAACAAATTTAAGGAAATTTAAAAATGAAAAAGAAAGGATTAATGGTACTATTAGAGGTCTCATTTTTCGTATTACATTATTTAAAGCGTGAGTATTTTAGATCAAAAAAGAAAAAAAGAAGAAGAAAATATATGTCTCACTTTTTAATTGGCTGAAATTAGACTAAGCGAAAGCAATGTATGGAGAAATTCTACAATACACTTCAAAAAAAAAAATTATATATCATATGCCTCAGTTGTTATCTTTGGGGTTTTTATTCGGATCCATTGTGTTATATAATCTATTATTGTTGTTATTTTAGTTAGGGCAAATTACACTAACGGTCCCTATAGTTGGGGTCTTGTATCACTTTGGTCTCTAACTTTTCAATTGTGATATATTTTGATGATACAGTTACGATACAACGGGTTCCAGAGGGAATAGGTCGGACTGGTCCACGCCTCTCCAACCGATATCTGAATGGCCAAGCCCACCTGAGAACCTACATAGGAGTTCAACAGGGAATCGAAAGTCCCCCAGCGAACCCTCCGATGAGCAAGTTAGAGAGAGAAGTGGAATGTAGAGATATGAATTAGAAAAAGAGAACTTAACCTTCTTTTTATCTTCAACGTCTGCTTATATCCTTTGGTAATCATTTCGTTGTCCCGTCCGACCTGTCACCTTGGCTAAAAGTCTATGCTGTAGCTTACCTTGTTCAGGGCGATGGCGTGCTGTCCCGACGGAGAGGTGTTGTCGTAATAAATGCTGTGAGGGGCTACATTAATGGTGATGTGCAGTGGCAATACCTTTGCAGATCTTTGTCTGCTAAGGTGGCTTGCCCTTTACCTATCACGTGTCTGAACATCATTGGTCCTTCACGTCATGTTGACTTCCAGCTGTACTGGGCCTTATCAGTTGGGTTATGCATTGGGCCCTAAGTAGTAGGCTTGGGTTGTTTATAGTGGGTTATGGGCTTTATGGGCTTATCCACGTCAGTAGTCCCCCATTCCCAAGTGCAGCTTTAGTCCAACGAAGGGAATAAATAGTGAAAGGAACGACCGACCGGAAGTGGCCGAGTGGAGGGACTGACCGTGAGGAGGGCCGACCATGAAGGGTAGACGAGCGGGGGAACAGACCATGAGGAGGGCCGACCGCGAAGGGTAGCCGAGTGGAGGGACCGAAAATAAGGAGGACTGACCGCGAAGGGTAGCCGAGTGGAGGGATCGACCATGAGGAGGGCCGACCGCGAAGGGTAGCCGAGTGGAGGGACCGACCATAAGGAGGGCCGACCGCGAAGGGTAGGGCGGCGGGGTGCGGGGCGGGCTGACCGCGAAGGGTAGCCGAGTGGAGGGATCGACCATGAGGAGGGCCGACTGCGAAGGGTAGCCGAGTGGAGGGACCGAAAATAAGGAGGGCTGACCGCGAAGGGTAGCCGAGTGGAGGGATCGACCATGAGGAGGGCCGACTGCGAAGGGTAGCCGAGTGGAGGGACCGAAAATAAGGAGGGCTGACCGCGAAGGGTAGCCGAGTGGAGGGATCGACCATGAGGAGGGCCGACTGCGAAGGGTAGCCGAGTGGAGGGACCGACCATGAGGAGGGCCGACCGCGAAGGGTAGGGCGGCGGGGTGCGGGGCTCGAGAGGCGGAAGGTGTAATGCCCTCAAAATAAACTCATAAATCATCCAACAATAGCATGCTTAAACATAAGTGAATAAAGCATAAATATATTCCATCAGAGTAGTCTTTACAAAACGTATTACATGTTGACATCAAAAGCAAATGCCCTATGGGCTTACAACTTTCCAAGTCAACACTTGGTTACAAAAAGGGAGTACTAACTCTATACACAGAAAACCCTTGGCTTGATATACATGTAATACAATAAAAAACACAAAACAGCCCAACAGTCTCAAGCCTCCCAAGCTATGTCCTTGGAGGTGGCATGCTACCTGTATCTGAAAATGATGTCCCATATAGGGTGAGCCACAGCCCAGTAGAAATATACTAAACCAACTATAAACAATGACTAAAATAACAGCATTCGATAGATGGTCCACACTTATATTTCCACTTATAACACGTTACAGTTTCATGACATTTAAGTCTATGTTACATTTCATTTCCCATTTCTTTCTCAACTTTGAGTTTGAAAACAAGACTTAGAACCTAGCCAAATAACTTAATGAGATTAAGACTCATCTTTAAAACACTTTGGAAATTCATGATGGATACACATTTTGGTGCTGTATCAATAACACATAGAAACACTTCTATACTTCACAATTGATAACGATATATATTTTAGTGCTATATCAAATGAATTCAAACACTTCCATAATCCACACTCGATACACATTGTAATGCTGTATCAATGTCATACAAAATCCAGTTTAGAGGTCCATCCCCTATCTTCCCCTAAACCGTGGAGTACATCCCTTATCTCCTCCCACACACAATGTATATAAACATAGATCATATACATAATCAATCAATACATAAAGTTAATGTATTATTTCAACCGCTATACTCGATAGCATACTCAATCGATTAGTTTTAGTTTGCCTAATCATCATGCATTGTCTACAACAATCAAGACTATCCTCCACCGATAGCCCAAAGCAGTTATTTCTAAACAGAAAATAAATGCACCAAATGGATAAAATATCAACATTTCAACTAGGTGAGTGATAAATGATCCAACTACACTCTTTAATCCCATACGTTCCCAATTTCAACATTCTCAATTCAACTTCTCATTTCTCAAAATTAATATCACAAATTAATTCATCAATGTAATTAGGGCATTTCCCATAATTAACAAAACAACTCTAAGGTTCCATTTCTATCAATAACCCAACATTTATCTCATTTCTCCATGCTAAACATGCATATAGGTTTATATAAGTAAAACCCTTCTTTTGTAAAATTACATAAAGGCCCAAACTTTTTCAAAATTACCCAACAACCCCCAACATATCAAAATGCTAAAATGTAAAGACAAAACTCATAAAGAGGAGTAGGATATCCCTACCTCGAAGTTAGAGCTCAATCGGAGAAGATGAAGAAAACGAAAATGCTCCAAATACCAAGATTCTCGGATCAAAACGTAGCTCTCAACGATCAACACACTTTTTACAAAGGTTGAAGGATAGGGAGACACTCTAACTAGATCAAACCCTAGAGAGAAGGGAGATCCTAGAGAGAGAGGCTCTCAAAAACGATTTTGGGAAAGTAAGAGAGAGAAAGGAAATGTAAAAAGTGATTTAAAATTACCCAGGGGATGACTCATATACGTATGACCCGCTCGAGCGGAGAATAGAACGCTCGAGCGTCAAACACAAAAATCTGGACACGCTCGAGCTCAAGAAGGCCTGCTCGAGTGCCAAGACACAAGAATGAAATACATCCGCTTGAGTGCGAAAACCAGTCCGCTCGAGCGTAGATTTCCCCCTCCCAGAACTTTCACAGACAAAGCACTACCCGCTCGAGCGCCAAGATACCCGCTTGAGCGTAGGAAACCCGCTCGAGCGTGAAAAACACACCTGCAAAAGTTTTGCAGGGACACGAGATACTGGGAGTGTGTAAACCACGCTCGAGCGCAAGAAGGCCCGCTCGAGCGGACAACCAAAAACCAAACTCCACTCGAGCACAGAATGATCCGCTCAAGTGTAACACCAAA